AAATACTAGTAGATTAAAGAAAATGAAGTGTTCAAGATTACTTTAACTGCACAGGCATAATCATTGATATCTCTATTGTCCTCTGGGATATGTAGGATTACATCAATTAAATTGGTCTCTGAAACTGAACACATTAACTATAAATGTGACTGTGTGCCTTCACCAGCACCGTTAGGTATTTAATTTACTTGCCTGAAATAGATTGCCAAGCTGTAAACGTGAAGCAAGTAATGTAAACGGGGTAATGATGGTAATTATCTGAGTGGATCAATTGTAGTGTTATTGCAACGTGATATTGTGAGTAGGAGCAAAATGCAGACATACCATATAAACTCCCATTTTCGGCTTTATTTCCTCACACATTTTTTCCCAAGACATTAAAGTAAAAAAAGAAAGAAATAAACTGGCGCTGCCATTCTTTCCTTTATTTCTTCCTACTCTCTTTTGTGCTGTCGCCTTACTAAAACCAGCAGACCCCACAAAAGCTAAATTTCTCCTCCCAAAAACAGTAATTTTATAGAATCAGAATTCCAGCAGTTTTCCCATGATTCATGGTTTCCAAATATGAACTGAAGCTACCCTGTAGATTGGCTAATTTGTCCCCTTCCTCTATTAACTAACAACTATAAACCCAGCAAGGTTAAAGATCTTGCTAAAGGTTCCACAACCCAGTTTTGCCAGGTAAGCTGCAAGGCATTGGAACTGGAGCCCAGAACATGCCTTCCCATCTAGGCTGGGCAAGGAACTGGACTATGTAACCACCCCAGCTGCAGGTACCAGAAGAGGTTCAGTGAGACAGACCAAAACAGTCTCTGAAGGAAAAAACAAGTCAGGAAGTTTCTAGTTTAGTTTGGGTGGGGAATGAAGAGAAGAAATAATCTAGAAGTAACCAATATTTAAAAGCTCAAATAGCTGATCAGCATGAGGGTGTAAGGAATGCACTGTCTAGGTGTCTGTCCATGATGCATGTGGGAAGGACATGGCAGGATTGCCCCTGAAGGACAGGGATGTTGGTAGTTTGTTAAAACAGGGATTCAGACACAGAGGAACAAGGTTTTCTCCGAACTGAAGCTTGGAGAAAAAGCAGGGCTTGACTTGTGGGGCTTGAGCTGTGACTAAGCTGAGAAGATCTAATAATGGCAAGAGCAGTTCAAACAGCCTTTACTTGGAAAGTTTCCTTAAATTCGGTGTTCCAGCCTCAAAATCACATCACCCAAATTTCATTGTTGATTAAGGTAACATGCTGTCCTGTATCTAAAAGTTTTCATGTATTTGCCAAGGAAAACATTGAAATCAGTAGCACAAATAAAAACCACACATAACCTATGCCTTCTGCGTTGGCAGAAAATGGAACTTAGGCATTTCAAATTACTTTTAGTGGAAAAATAAATACTAAATATCCACAGAACTATAACTGCAAGCCCGCCTGTTCCCTGGGAGGAAAGCATTTCCAGAGGGGCAGATCTGATATTGTGTGGCCAATATGACACAGGTGGATACAGGTGGTCCCCACTCTTAGAGCTGGGATCCAAAGAGTGTGGGTCCCGAGGTGGTGGTCTCAGAAAGGCAATATTTCCAGGGAGAAGGAGACAAAAAGAAAAGGAGAGGTGCCCTTTGGCAATTTGGTTATGAGGGGGGGGAAGTAAGAGGGAGAATTTCAAGAGGCTATAAAGTAAAAGAGAAAATACGACCAACCTTCCCCCGTTGTCATCCATTCCAGAGGCTAAAGTAAGGCTAAGGGACAGTCAATGAGCATGATGTATTCTGGTAAAGTCAAAGGAGCACGACTAGAGCATTGGTCGGAAAGGAGCAAAAGGTGCCTTGTTGATTGCTGCAGGTATAATAGGAGGGAGTCAAGGGTCATGATTTCAACTAGATGATAGCAAAGTAAAACAAAAAAGGAAATAGTGCACAAGAAATAAATTGCTAAGGGTAGATAGGAAATAAACCTATTGTGGTGATCATTTTGCATTGTGTATGATGTCAAATTATTCCATCACCCAAACATAATATAATCTTATGGTTAATAATACTTCAGTAATACCATCAATATTACTAATAAAGAACCTGAAAGAGGGCCTCCCTGGTGGTGCAAGGGATTAAGTCTCAGTACGATGAGGCTATTGGCAACCACTGTAGAATGAGTTCAATCTCCAGCCAGGGAGCTACCCACATGGTACAGCAGAACTCTCCTGTCTCGCCCGCTGCTCCCCTCAGCAGTGTATTTCAGTAGATCTGCCTGTTCTGCTCCTCATTCTGTCCCTGGTAAATCGTCTTACCCCCATGCACCTCTGGCCTGTACCCCAGTTCTTATATGTATAAATAAATAAAATATTTTTTAAAAAGAACCTGCAAGAGGTGGATGAGGATGAGACAGAAAAGTAGGGAAAGGGATAATGCCTACTATAAATTTAAGATTAGTTTTGACTTTTGGAATAATGTCAATACTTTATACATTCAAAGAGTAAGGTGAAATGAACAAGAGAAGTTAAACGTGAGTACTATCAGAATCAAATGAACTAAACTGAAATTCAAGTGACTAGTATAGCCACACTATACTAGTGGGTGGGAAAGGAAGAACTGATCTAGTAACGTCAAATGCAGTGTTTTGATTATACACTCTTCATATTATTATTTTATGTATTGTTACATTGTTGGATTGAAGAAGTCATAAATATAATAATGTTGATGATGCATGTTCCCCATACACCAGGAGAAAGGAAGTTACAGGCCAGGAAGAAGTCTGTGTACGAGTGTGAGTGTGTGTGAGTGTGTGTGGGTGTGTGTGTGTGTAGATTGGAGATTCTAGTACATTCCCGGAAAGGTACTAGAAGCAGTGTCTCCTTGGTAGCAATAAGCACATGTTAACATCCAGTTCTAAGTTTCAACATTTCATTCCCCAAATAAACACAAACAGGATCCTTGGAGAAAAGCTCATTTCAAAAGTGGAGCAAAGAAAAATCAAACTGGGCCTGAAATATTTCTCTGTGCCAAAAGAGAGAAACTTTTTTTAAAAAATTATGTAAGTGTATCAAAAGGGCACAGCTTAACAGGGCTTGTCTTCCCAAAGCTGCAGTAACTTTAGCATCAAAATAAATAGACAGTAATGAATTATATCAATAATGTTAGATTCCATGTATTCATACTGATAGATAAATAGGAAAATCACTTCTTCATGACAGAATCCAAATTCATAAAGGAAGGTAAATAATAGAGTTAAAAAATCACCATTTGCAAAGAAAGTAATCATTGATTTAGTCAAGACATGTCAATGGTTGCTAAATTAAATAGAAAGTTTAATAAGAAACAGGATATTTTCGTAGTATGTTTTCAAAATATCTCCTTACAATTTCCTTCTTAATTGTGAGGTGAAAGATAATGACTTTACAGTAAAGATTTGGACCCTACCTCAACTAAATGATCAAAGTTAACATGTCTGATGAAGAAACCCAGACACCATACAATTCTGATATGGTGTACTGAGAAAGGCCCACTATCATTTCTTAGCTAACCTGCCAAGTGTGCATGGTGAAACTGGAAATAACACTAAATTAAGGAAGAGCCATAAAATAATTACCCTCAATACTTCAAAAAAATTTCAACAGTATGTAAGATGAAAGAACTGTTCCACATAATGGACGAATAACAAATAGATGTAATGGATTTTTTTTCCTAGATAGGATTCTGGACTGGAAAAAAATTCTACAATGATAGTATTATGAGAATGGATGAAATTGAAATAAGAACACAGATCAGATTATGGCATTGCATTAATGTTGTGTTTCTTGAATTTGACGACTCTATGTGCTTGTTTCAGACTGTCTTTGTTGTCAGGCAATATACACCAAAGTATTTGAGATAAAGGACATCATGTTTGCAACTTATTTAAGTTGTGGGAAAAAGACAATTGAAAGAAAAAGGAATGACATTTGTAAATATTAACGATTGCTGAATTTAAAGACAGAGTATGTGGGTGTTCTCCATTCTATTCTTACAAATCATCTTTAAATTTTGAAATTATTTACAAATATAAATAATAAAGGAAAATGTTGTATTTGTATCAGCTAAAAATCATGCCATACTTTTGAATAAAACTTACTTAAGCTTTTCCTCATATCCAAACGTCAAATAGGGCTGTAGTGAAGCAGTTGGTAGAAACCAGTCAGCGTGGGGTGGGAGGGTGGTGGGTAGTCTCTGCCTCAGCCTTGGGAAGGATTAACATGTGCAGTCCAGGCTTCATGCTGGTACCAAGATACCAAATGTAGAAACCCATTCTCTTGATACCATTTCATGCTATTTTTAAAACCTAGTGTTCTTGTACGTATTACTTTATCCCCTTGTTCCACTAGTAACCTAGTAACCCTATGAAAGCTAGTTTTCTATGGTAACCTATTTAAAAACATGCAGATACCCACATGAGTCTGAGGAGTAGGAAAGTAGTAATTTTAAAAAGAAAGAATGAACAGATAGGGATTTTTAACTACAGGGCAATTCTTAAATTTCTCATTATATTCTTATTGTAAAATCATTGATTAACAAGGAAAACAATATTTAGTTTGCATTTGTATTTATGCTTTTGTGAATTTATCTGAGATTCTTCTCTATAGCCTAAACAAATATTGGGTTGTGAAATTGTGACAGGTCTTAATGAAGTGGATTAAGGCATTTCTTACATTTTCATGTTTGTAGAATGAAATAAACATTGTAATCTTTTTACAGAATAGCCCCACGTCAATCCGTGATTTGATTTTCTACCTGTTCAGAATTTAAAGTCTTGCATTCCTTTAAGAGCTAAAGGAGTTTGTATTTTTGTGAACAAGTTGATAAGACAGAAGCCATCCTTGAGATATTTATAATAGTGCTTAGAACAAACTTGTCAAAGATTCTTCTAAAAGATTGTTTTGGATCCTGAGGAGATATATTTAGTAACTGTATTGAATAAGTTGTCATATAATACAACATTTCATTGATTTATTTGTATTATTTTTGTATCTCTGCAGGCAGAGAATTCAGCATTGGCTTTGGAAAATGAAAATCAAAGGGAACAGTATGAAAGATGCCTTGATGAGGTAAGAGGAATGGAGAGGTTTTAATAGGATCTGGACTATTTAGAATTCCCTTAGTCAGATCTTAATGTATGTCTACTACTGGCCTCCCCAGGAGCATTTTCTCTTCCAAATGAAGGTGGTAAACATAGGGACATTTAGAGGGGAGGTCAGTCAGCCCACTCCCTTTGCCCCTTTCCTTCCCATCCTATTTCCTGATACAGATTTCTCTACTATCCAAAAGTAGAACATTTGTTTTTGGTATGATCTGATAAGTTATATTTTAGGTCTCAAAATGTTATTACCATTAGAATATGTGAAAAAAAAAAAATTCTAACATTCCCAGACCCAAAGAATAACCTACCAAATTATAACATACAGGAATGTTCTACTTTCAGGTGGTGGGAGAAACCCAGACAGGCATCTATAATTCTTTTTGGTTCTTGTTTAATATTCTTGGGCACAGTTGGCATGTGCTTCACTATATGATAAATTCCTTTATCCAGTTTGTGTGATCCAGCCTTTGAATAAGAAAACTTCCATCGGGGCAATGCTGTATCTCCAATTGGATGTCATTTCTTAAAAAAGCAGATTCTTGATAGAGTGGGTGGCAACGATGTTCACAGTGGGCAGCCAGAGGGAAAAATCAGTAGATTGAGAACCAGCCAAGAAGAGAAGGAGAAGCCAACAAGAAAATTTGAGCAGAATACAAGAAGACAGAGCCACACGCCTGAGTAAACTGGAGAAATATCATTTGATGATAATGAAGAGATGAAAGCAAAGAGGGTGGGTGTGTCGGAATTCCTGAGTGGCAAGGAGAAAATTGAAATGTGTGCAGAGCCATAGTCCTCTCAGCCACTCCTCTCACACCCTGTCAGGAATCCTTACTGTGTCAACCTGCCAGGGCTGCCCATTAGCCTAACAAATGAGCTCTCATCTGGGACTTTATTGGTGAGCAGCATCTCTAATTTCATAGAGTAACTTTCTTTTTTTTTTTTTTTTTTATTTATTTATTTATTTTTAATCTTAAATTTTATTTTTATATTCCCCCATACAATTGCAAACGCCCCATTCTGACCCCAATCCTTCCCCTCCCGCCCCCCCACCCCCAAAAAGTGTCTCTGGTTCATAGTTTTTTTGTTGATTTTGATTTTCACTTTCTTATATTCATTTTCCTGGTCCCTTATTTAAGTTTTCTAGATTCCTGCTATGAGTGAGACCATCCGGTATTTTTCTTTTTCTTTTTGGCTTATTTCGCTGAGCATGATCCCTTCCAGCACCATCCATGTTGCTACAAATTGCATGTGTTTATCTTTTTTGAATGCTGAGTAATATTCCATGGTATATATGTACCACATCTTCTTGATCCAGTCATCTACTTTTGGGCATTTGGGTTGTTTCCAAAGCTTAGCTATTGTAAACAGTGCTGCTATAAACATAGGGGTGCAGGTGCTCTTTGGAATTGATGTTTATGTGTCCTCTGGGTAAATACCTAGGAGTGGAATTGCTGGATCATATGGAAGCTCTATGTTTAGTAGGTCCAGAAATCTCCACACAGCTCTCCATAGTGGTTGGACCAGTTTGCACTCCCACCAACAGTGCAGAAGAGTTCCTTTTTCTCCACATCCTCGCCAACATTTGTTGTTGCTAGTTTTTTTAATATGTGCCATTCTCACTGGTGTGAGATGGTATCTCATGGTAGTTTTGATTTGCATTTCCCTGATTGCAAGTGATGTTGAACATTTTTTCATATGTCTGTTGGCCATTTGCAATTCCTCTTCAGAGAAGTTTCTTTTTAGCTCTTCTGCCCATTTTTTGACTGGATTATTTTCTTTGTTGTTGCTGAGTCTCATCAGCTCTTTGCAGATTTTTGTGATCAGTCCTTTATCATTAGTGTTGGGTGCAAAAATGTTCTCCCAGTTGGTGGGGTTTCTCTTTGTTTTTGTTATTGTCTCTTTTGCTGTGCAGAAGCTCTTTAATTTGATGTAGTCCCAACTGTTTATCTTTGTCTTCACTATCACTGCTTTGGGTGATGTGTCTGTAAAGATGTCTTTGATGTGCAAATCCCGTAGTGTTTCGCCTATATTTCCTTCTATGTATTTTATGGTTTCAGGTCTTATGTCTAGTTCTTTAATCCATTTTGAGTTGATTTTTGTGTATGGTGTGAGGTAGTGGTCAAGCTTCATTCTTTTGCATGTAGCGACCCAGTTTTCCCAGCACCATTTATTGAACAAACTTTCTTTGCTTCAATGCATAGTCTTTGCTCCTTTGTCAAAGATTAGTTGACCATAAATCTGTGGGTTTATTTCTGGATTTTCTATTCGATTCCATTGGTCTGTATGTCTGTTCTTGTTCCAATACCATGCAGTTTTGATGATTATGGCTTTGTAGTATAGTTTGAAGTCTGGGAGTTTGATGCCTCCATTTCCTTCTTTTTTTTTCAGGAGAGCTTTGGCTATTCGGGGTTTTTGGTGATTCCATATGAATTTCATCAATAATTGTTCTATTTCTTTGAAGAATGCCATTGAGATTTTGATTGGAATAGCATTGAATCTGTATATTGCTTTTGGTAGGATGGCCATTTTAATAATGTTTATTCTTCCAATCCATGAGCAGGGGATGTCTTTCCATTTCTTTGTGTCTTCTTCTATTTCTTTTAACAGTGTTTTATAGTTTTCTTTGTATAGGTCCTTTACCTCTTTTGTTAGATTTATTCCCAAATATTTGATTTTTTTTTTGTTTCAATAATAAAAGGGGTGGTTTTTTTGATTTCTTCTTCTTCAGATTTATTGTTTGTGTATAGGAAGGCTACGGACTTTTGCGTGTTGATTTTGTATCCTGCCACTTTACTGAACTGACTGATGAGTTGAATTAGTTTTTCTGTGGAGATTTTGGGGTTCTCTATGTATATTATCATATCATCTGCAAATAGTGATAGTTTGACTTCTTCTTTTCCTATTTGGATTCCTTGGATGTCTTTCTCTTGTCTTATTGCTCTGGCTAGTACTTCCAGTATTATATTGAAAAGCAGTGGTGAGAGTGGACATCCTTGTCTTGTTCCAGATCTTAATGGAATTGCTTTCAGCTTTTCACCATTGAGAATTATACTGGCTGTTGGCTTCTCATAGATGGCCTTTATGATGTTGAGGTATGTTCCTTGTATCCCAAGAATTTCAAGGACTTTTATCATGAATGGGTGTTGCACTTTGTCGAAAGCTTTCTCAGCATCTATTGATATTATCATATGGTTTTTATATTTCTTTTTGTTGATGTGTTGGATAACGTTGATTGATTTTCGGATGTTAAACCATCCTTGTGCCCCTGGAATGAATCCAACTTGGTCATGGTGAATTATCTTATGGATACATTGTTGGATTCTGATAGCTAAAATTTTATTGAGGATTTTTGCATCAGTGTTCATTAGGGAGATTGGCCTATAGTTTTCCTTTTTTGTGTTGTCCTTGTTCGGTTTTGGTATTAGTGTAATGTTGGCTTCATAAAACGTGTTTGGTATCGTCCCTTCCTTCTCAATTTTTTGGAAGAGTTTGTGAAGGATAGGCACTAATTCGTCTCTGAATGTTTGGTAGAATTCATTTGTAAATCCATCAGGTCCTGGGCTTTTGTTTTTGGGGAGGTTTTTGATTACCATTTCAATTTCGCTGCTTGTAATTGGTCTGTTTAGGTGTTCTATTTCTTCTTTATCTAGCTTTGGGTGATTGTAGAGTTGTAGGAATTTGTCCATCTCCTCTAGATTGTTGAACTTGTTTCCATATAACTGTTCATAGTAGTTACTGATTATTCTTTTGATTTCTGCTGTGTCCGTTGTGATTTCATAGAGTAACTTTCTTAGCTATATAACCTGTACCCTAAAACTTGTACATAGTCATCTAACAGGTTGAGTTTGATTGTTGTTTCAATGTATCTTTTGGGAAAATAAGAAAAACTATATTTAATCTGGTTGTGTTACCTTACCAGGAGAAACTAACAGTATCTTTTCAGTCTTTTTCTCCTCACTGACAGTTGGGGAAACTTTTTCCAATAAACGCCTCTTGATCTTTCCTACCCTGCCCTACCCTTTACCCACACCACCACCATCCTAGAGGTGATGAATTTTCCCAAATCCCACTTACCTTGTCCTCAGCATCACTATATACCTCCCTCCTTCCTTCAAACTAGAATTATCTTCCTCTTCAGAGTTCCAGTTGTGCCTGTTACTTTCCTCTACCATTTTTCTTAAAATGTGATCCCTAAACCAGCAGCAATTAATCTCATGGGAACTTGTTAGAAATGCATGTTTTCAGATACCACTTCAAATTTATAGAATCAGAGACTTGGGGGATGATTATCAATCTGTGTGTCAACTAACCCTACAGACAATGCTTATACACCCCACACTTTGAGGGCTATTGTCCTCATTACATAGACCACTTTGTATTAGTGAATTATATGTGGTTGAAGAACCTTCCAAATGTCCCACGAAAATAGTTTAATTAGTTTGTATTTTAATTAATATTTCCAACCATATACATTTGTTACTTAAAGAAAACTGTATTTGCAGTTATTTGCCCTGTCAAGACTTCAAAAGACTCAGAATAATCTTGTAATGCCCAAAGTTCAAAGAATAACTAAAGTAATTTGACCTAGAAGGGGGAATGATGACTCAATATAGTGAAGCCAGTTGAGCACTTCTCACCCCTGGTCCCGAGGCCCCTGGTCCAATCAAAGTTTAGAGCAAAAAAGACCAAATAGATCCAAGAATATTTAGAGGGACAAATATTGCCCTTGGGTCATATGTATTGATTAGCAAAGTTTTACTTTAACCTCCTGCACAGAAATTTCCAGTGGGACTTAATCTGTATTCAGAAGTCAAATGCATGTGAATCACACCACAGAAACTTCATATTTGTCACAATTCTCCCACCGTTCTCCTCATCAACCAAAAGACTTAGAATTTTTCTTTATGGAAACCAATATAGTCTCTTTTCCACATGTTTTCCATGCCTACATTCTGAAATTTTCATTAG